GTGGTATAAAAATTGAGAAACATTTTAATGTAAATACTGATTACCAAAATCCTGTCCGAAGTAATAGTTTCATTGGTGTTCCAAATGGAGAGACAGAAATGCCATTGAAAGGGAGAAGAGTAGGCCCGATTAAGCCTGCAGTAACTGTCATAGTTGCACCCTATGAAGATAAAATATTTTACAGTAGTGGACCCAAAAGAAGATCTGGGCCGGTTAAGCCAGAAAAAGTGCTAGAATCATCTGTTCCTGTGGAGTATGCAAAGATGTGGAAACCTGGAGATGAATGTTTTGCACTTTATTGGGAAGACAATAAGTTTTGCCGAGCAGAAGTCGAAGCTCTCCATTCTTCCTGTATGACTGCAGTTGTTAAATTTATTGATTATGGAAACTATGAAGAGGTGCTACTGAGCAATATCAAGCCCATTCAGACCGAGGCATGGGAAGAAGAAGGTACCTACGACCAAACTCTGGAGTTCCGTAGAGGAGGTGATGGCCAGCCAAGACGTTCTACTAGGCCAACCCAGCAGTTTTACCAGCCTCCCCAGGCTAGAAACTAACAAAGTCTTTGCGAAGAAAGGAGCTGTTGAAACCTCCTAGTAGAACCTTCTTGATAGACCTACTTGCCCTCCAGCATCAAATGCAGCCACGGAGAATGTCATTATTTGAAGAAACAAAAGCAGATTTTTAGGGGTTAAAATTCAAGAATGGTGAAAAAAAAAATGAATTAAATAAACCCTTACAAATGAAAGGCAGATTTTTTTCTTACACCACCAATAAAACTATTGTGCTATATTAAAAAAAAAAAGAAAGAGAACTACAGGCCAATCTCCCTCATGAACATAGATGCAAAACTCCTCAATAAAATCCTAGCAAATGGAATGCTGCAAATCATCAAGAAGATCATACACCATGACCAGGTAGGATTCATCCCAAGGATGCAAGGATGGTTCAATTTATGCAAATCTATGAATGCAGTACACTATATTAATAGAGCAAAATCTAAAAACCACAAGATCATCTCAGTTGATGCAGAAAACGTTTTTGACAAAGTCCAACTTTCATTCATGTTCCAAGTCCTACAGAAAATTGGAATAGAAGGCCTCTACTTCAATCTGATAAAAGTCATCTATGACAACCCAATGGCTAACATAATCTAAATGGGGAAAAACTGAAATCTTTTACTCTCAGATCAGGTACAAGACAAGGATGTCCTCTATCACCCCTCCTCTTCAATATAGTTCTGGAATCATTAGCTAGAGCCATTAGACAAGAGAGAGACATAAAAGGAATGAGAATAGGTAAAGAAGAAGTTAAATTATAATTATTTGCAGATGACATGATACTTTACTTGTAAGACCCAAAAAACTCCACCAAGAAGCTACTAGAATTAATATAGAAATTCAGTAGCATAGCAGGATACAAAGTCAATACCCAAAAGTCAATAGCATTCCTCTACACAGATAACAAACACACTGAGAGGGAAGTTAGAGAAACAATACCTTTCACAATAGCATTGAGGAAAATGAAATATATTGGAATTAATCTAACTAAAGAAGTCAAAGATCTTTTGAAGGAAAATTACACTATTCTTGAAAAAGAGATTGTAGAGGATTTCAGAAAATGGAAAGATATTCCATGTTCCTGGATAGGAAGAACCAACATTGTGAAGATGGCCATACTCCCAAAATTTCTCCACATATTTAATGCAATCCCTATCAAACTACCACCAACATACCTTACATACCTAGAGAAATCGTTCCTAAAATTTATATGGAACCAGAAAAGACCTAGAATAGCAAAGGCAATCCTGGGCAACAAAGGCAAGGCAGGAGGCATTACAATTCTGGACTTGAAATTATACTACAAGGCTACTTTGAAAAAATCAGCATGGTACTGGCAGCAAAATAGACCTGAGGATCAATGGAATAGATTGGAAGATGCAGAGGCCTCTATGAATGCACTCAGTCACCTGATCTTCGACAAAGTAGCCAAACACTCTTACTGGAAGAAAGATAGCCTCTTAAACAAATGGTGCTGGAAAAACTGGCTGTCTACATGCCAAAAACTAAAACTTGTCCCAGGTCTACCACCATGCACTAAGCTAAAGCCAAAGTGGATTAAAGATCTAAACATTAAAACAGAAACACTAAATCTCTTGGAATAGAAAGTAGGAGGAACTCTTGAAGGCATAGGGGTAGGCAAAGAGTTCATGAACAAAAATCAAATTGCACAAGTAATACTTGAAAGAATTAACAACTGGGACCTCCTCTTATTGAAAAGTTTTTGTACATCAAAAGAAATTACCAACAAAGTGAAAAGACAGCCCACAAATTTCAAAAAAGTCTTGACTTATAAGCACTCAGACAAAGGTCTGCACTCTAGAATTTATAAAGAACTAAAAAACATTAGGGCCCCTAAATTTAAAGACCCAGTGCAGAAATGGGCATCTGAGATGAACACACACTTCTCAGAGGATGTAATTAAAGAAGTGAATAAATATATGAAAAAATACTCCACATCACTAGCCATCCATGAAATGCAAATTAAAACAGCATTGAGATATCATCTCACCCCAGAAATAATGGCTATCATAAAGAAATCAACCAACAACAAATGTTGGAGCCAGTGTGGGAAAAAGGAATCCTTTTCCACTGCTGGTGGGAATGTAGACTGGTGCAACCATTATGGACATCAGTGTGGAGACTCCTTAAAAAACTAGGACTGGAAATTCCATTCAAGCCAGGTATCCTCCTACTGGAAATTTTCCTGGATGAACTGGAAACATCATATCATAGGGATATATGTGTACCTATGTTTATAGCAGCACAATTTGTGATAGCCAAATCTTGGAAACAACCAAGATGCCCATCACCTGAGGAATGGATGAAAAAGATATGGTATTTTTATACAATGGAGTATTACTCAGCTACAAAGAATGATGAACTTAAAGCCTTCATATTTAAGTGGATGCCACTTGAAGATATCCTCATAAGTGAAATTAAACCAGACCCACCTGTGTAAATATCATATAGTCTCCCTAGTATAAGAATGCAAAAGAAGAAATATAAATAGAAAGGTATAACACAATTAAAAGGAAAGTGAGAACTTGAGGATTAGACAATGAGGAGAGGGCAAGGAGAAAAGCTGGGAAAAATGACAGGGGCAAAGCCATACATTTATACACACAAGATGGGTAAGGCAAGGATCCTGAGAAACATCAGCAGGTTTTTGAAACTAGCAGTTGATTGTTAGGATTCTCACCCTGACTAACTATATATGCTGATACCTATGAACTAAGCAATTGAACTGCAGACAGCAATATGTAATAGAAGGGCCATGCTTGGAATGCCTGTCATTATGGTCTTCTAAATACCTACTAATTGTCATGACATACCAATTATTGCCATACTGTCTCTGAAGTAAATGTCTGTTTTTAAAAAAGGGGGGGCCCGCTGGGAGGAAGTTCTGGTCTCTGTGGTGCTGGGTCCATGGTGGGAGCTGAGGAGAAGCAGGAGTGGGCCATGGAGGCTGTGCTGCCTTGGGTCTCATCATGTAGTCCTGGCTGGTCTCGAACTCACTATGTCACTGTGTAGCTCTGGTTGGTCTTGAACTTGTGGTGGTCCATCTGCTTCAGCCCCTGAGTGTGGGGATTACAGGTACTACTATAAAGTTTGTAGAAAAAGGATCTACTTATTGAACCTTCTTGACTTAGAAAGAGATGTGGGGAGATTCTCAGTCTGGTAACAGAGCACGACCTTTTTGCCATCATCTGAGAAGTGCAAGGTACTTTCACAAGTTTGCTCTACAGGCTGTGCATTTTGCAGTGTATCTGTAAGCAATGGCTGCCATCTGAAAGAAGCTGGCAACTGTTGGTGATGGAGCTTGTGGTAAGACATGTTTATTCACAGTCTTCAGCAAGGACAGTTTCCAAAGTATGTGTTCCCACAGTGTTTGAGAACTATGTGGCAGATATTGAAGTGGATGGAAAGCAAGTAGAGTTGGCTTTGTGGGGCATGGCTGGACAGGAAAATTATGATCGCCTGAGGCCTCTCTCCTATGCAGACACCGATGTCATACTGATGTGTTTCTCCATTGACAGCCCTGATAGTTTAGAAAACATCCCAGAAAAATGGACGCCAGAAGTGAAGCATTTCTGTCCCATTGTACCCATTATCCTGGTTGGAAACAAGAAAGATCTTTGGACTGATGCGCACACAAGACAGGAGTTAGCCAAGATGAAGCAGGAGCCAGTAAAATCTGAAGAAGGCAGAGACATGACAAACAGGATTGGCACCTTTGGGTGCATGGAGTGCTCAGCAAAGACCAAAGATGGAGTAAGAGAGGTTTTGGAAATAGCCACGAGAGCTGCTCTGCAAGCCAGATGTGGGAAGCAAAAATCTGGGTGCCTTGTCTGGTGAAACCTTGCTGCAAGCACAGCCCTCATGTGGTTAATTTTGAAGTGCTGTTTATTAATCTTAGTGTATGATTACTGGCCTTTTCCATTTATCTATAATTTACCTAAGATTACAAATCAGAAGTCATCTTGCTATCAGTATTTAGAAGCCAGCAATGATTATCAATAATGATGTCCAGGGGCTGGTGAGATGGCTCAGTGGTCTAAAGCACCTACTTAGAACAAGCTTAGCAAAGCACAGGGACTGCGGTTCAATTCCCCAGCATTACATGCCAGCCAGCCCCACCCCCTGGTGGGCTGAACTGCCCCCCCCCATAAATAAATAGAATTAAAAAAAAATAATGATGTCCAACCCATGTGGCCTGCCAGGACACTTCCGACACCACTCTAACAGCCTTTTCTGCACTCCACCTGACACACCAGGTGTTAATTCACAGAATTTCTTAACTTCTTTCTAGAAAGAAACAGTTAGTAACTTTTGTGAATCAAGCTATAACTACTTTATAACTAACATGTCCTGCCTCTCTAATCTGTCAGTTGCAGGGAATTCTGATGAGTCCCCATTTCAGAGTCTTACTCCTCATGGAGTTATTGGCATAGCTCTGGGGTGGGCAGACAGTTTTCTTGAAAACGCTCTCAGCCAGAAGCCCCAAGTCCATGTAGCTGTGGCAGAGTTACAGTTCTGTGGTTTCATGTTAGTTACCTTATAGTTAACCATGTAATTAGTGCCACTTAATGTTTGTTACCAAAACCAAATATATCTACCCAGACTAGACATAGTAGTTTTTGCATAATTGGATTTCTTAATACTGATACTTGTCATTACCACAAAGAATGTATTGGTGGTTCTTTTGTTTTGCTTTGTTTTTTTAACAAGAAAGTGTATTTGGAAATAAAGTCAGATGGAAAATTCATTTTTTTAAATTCCTATTTTTTTTTTTTCATTTTGTCTGATACAGGAAGGCTATTGCCCCTTTTTGGCCCTACATATCCTAGTTCCCTTCTCAAGAACTGGGTTAGTAACTAGGAATTTTGTTTGAAGATGGGATAACCTTTCTCACCTGGGCTGCAGGGCCTGGCTCTAATTCACAGCGCTCTTTTCTCCTCATCTACTGAGGTGCCCTCCCCGAGAAGCCATCAGTTCTCAGGGATGATACTCAGTTTTTCTTTTCTCTCCAGCTGACTAAAGTTTTTTTTCTGTACCAGTTAATGTTTCCAAGTAATAGAACAAAGGCAGTTTTGTAAAAAAAAAAAAAAAGTAATAAATGAAAAAAAGAGACAAGGAAAAAAAAGCCACAGAATTTTACTGTTACAATGCTGTATATTTAGATTTCTAAATTTCTGTGTAAAAATATGTAATTGTTTATTCATGTTTTAAAAATATTTTTTAATTTTTTTCTCCATATTCTGTGGAGACTTAAAGTTTAACATACCAATACTAGATGGAAAATACCTGTTCCATGTTATGTCTAAGATGCTTGATATTCAGACAGATAGTGAAGTTAAACCCAACTGTATATGTTGTAGGGTAATAATAAGCTTCTCTCCTGGAGGGTTAACAACCTAAGTTTGCAGACCAAATATTAAAGAAAAAGAAGGGCTGCAAGGACAGACAACATTTTGGCCCTAGCCTTTCAGAGTCAGTGAAGACTCAGGACATAGGAGAACCTATACTGTAACATCATGTAACTCAGTTGTGACCCAAATTTTCTGATAAAGGAGATTATGGGGCCACAGAGCAATGTGATTGATGACATAGAGTGTGCCTAAGGTGAGTCACATGAAAAGAAAAGATACTCTCAGGCTTTCACAGAGAGCAAATTGGTCAGGCAATGGCTGACTCATCCACATGGCTGACACTGACAAAGGATCTACAAAGTGCGGTACAGGGTTTCAGGATAAATCCTGAGGGGACTTGACTGACCTTATCAGATATAAAAGTTACATTTCTTGTTATATAAGTCCTGCTTTATCTTGGTCTTAACAATCCAGCAAAAAAGTATAAAAACTTGGTATAAAAAGCAAAGCCATATTAATATGCTGAACTGTGAAAGGCTCAAGTCAACAACTTCTGACATTGCCAATCCTATGGATAACCCACTACTATTATGGACTACTGGACTATATTGGATTATTTTGCTGAATTCATGCACCTACAATATTTAAATGGCAATGGAATACCCATCTCTGACAAAATTAAACAAAGAAAGGGGATACAAAGGAAGGACGATTTTGTATCTGTATATGCTGAATAGTTAGGATAGATATACAGCTACTTAGCTACTTTTTCTTAATTCAGTGAAAAGAAAGATTTGTACTAATAGTATTCAGTCAGGATATCCTGTCTGCATCTTGTACTATGAATAACCACTAAGAAGATAACAATATGTAATGTATTAATTGTTGAAACTATCCTATTGATCGGTTTTGAAACTGTCTCATTGCTATCTGTTTCTCAATAAAATTAATAAAAACCCCACCATATTGGATGCCAAGAAATGAAATAAAAATCAATAAAAATTATATTGTATTTAATATAGAGGATTCATAATCACAGAATGTTCTTATGCCTCTTCAGAAGGGAGGAAATACAAATTAATATGTAATTATGTAAGAATACAAAAATCCTTTTTAATAAATCACATACTGGCTTGTTAAAACCAATACTTTTAAAAGCACACCCCTGTGACACACCTCTTCCAAGCAGGCCCTACCTGCTTAAATAACAACATTCTGTGATTATGAATCTTCTATATTAAATATATTATAATTTTTATTGATTCTTGTTTTAAAAGCAAAATTTAGCCAGGCATGGTGCATACCTATAATCCTAGCACTCAGGAGGCTGAGACAGGAGGATTGCTACAAGTCTGAGGCCACCCTGGGCTACAAAGTGAGTTCAGGGCCTGCCTGAACAGGATGATGAAACACTGTCTCAAAAAAAAAAAGTAAAAATTTTAACCTGAAGATAAAACTTGAAGAATAAAATTTATAAAATAAAAAGACACCAGCATTTTCATTTATAATTGAAAAATTTCCCCTGGTTAACCGTTGCCTTTCTTTCTTTCTTTCTTTCTTTCTTTCTTTCTTTCTTTCTTTCTTTCTTTCTTTCTTTCTTTCTTTCTTTCTTTCTTTCGTGGAAACGGGGATTGGACTCAGGCCCTTGCACTTGCCAGGGAAGCGCTTATTCCACTGAGCCATCCTCCCGGCCCCTTTTTCTTTCTTTTTTAATTTACCAAGTGTACTATTATCAGAAGGCAAAAAGCAAAGAAATGGAAGCCTGCATTAAGTGTATTACCCAGAGACTAACAAATAGTGTATGGTGTGTGTGTGTGTGTGTGTGTGTTCAAGTTTAGGAAAAAGACCAGATTCATCCTTTGAGCAAGTAACCTTTGTTTAGATAGAGCTTAAAGGCAAAGAATGGCTAGGTCACATTTCTTTATTGCCTGCTCCAAATGAAGGAGTGGTAGCAGGATCTGGGTTTATTTTCACTGATGTACAACAGTTGTGGTCTATGTCTAGCTATCCTTCTAAAGTCTCCTGGGATCCTAGATGAGACTTTTGGAAGGTTATTTGATTAACAGCAGTGGAATAGCTGACTTGCTGAGAGGAGGTTCATCCCACAGGAAGAGGTGGGTCTATCCTCTTCTAAGCTCCTCCCTTCACTTTCTCTGCTTCCTGACTGCCGTGCGGTAAGCAGGAGTCCTCCTCCTTGCACTCATGCTGTGTGGTCTTCCCTTGGAGCCAGCCAATAATGGACTGAAATGCAAGCTAAACTAAACTTCTCTTCCCTTTAATGTACTGGTGTTGGATATAGCATTTGTCTCAGTGTCAAGAAGAGGGACTAAGACATCAATGTAGCTGGGATCTTGTATTTTAAGAGAATCAAACTGTGGTTGAGGTTGAACTCCAACAGAACGCTATTGTCCTCTGAGAAATGCAGCCCCCAGCACCACACCAACTTCTCTGCCAGCACCATTAGTCCTGAGTGGCCCCAGCAGCCTGCAAGCCTTGCCAGTGGACTTTCCCCATCCCAAATGCCTCCCCTTATCTCCTAGGTAGACAGGATGCATGCTGGAATGAGCACAGCTTTGGGGTGACCGACCTTGTTATGCTGGCTCCTGGTGTCATCTCCCTGCCCCTCAGTGTCATTCCATAAATAAGCACTACTGCCTTCATATCCAGGGGCTAGAGGGTCACATGAGATAACTTGGGTGAAAGAGCTGGTAGGATGCTTGGCTATCCTTAGTAGATACAAGGTAAAATCCCCCTTTTGTACCCTTCTAGGGGTCAAGTGGGTCGAAACTGATTTGCATGATTTGGGCAAGTCAGATGATTTCTCTGAACCACTGTGTTTCCACATGTAAGTGGGCTATTATGCTCCTGAAGATGGTGAAAGTGGAAATGATAAGGCTTTAGATAAATTGTACTGATGTATCTTTTAACATTTTTTTCTCCATAATTTTATTGAGAAACAAATAGCAATGAGAGTATCTTTTAACACTTTTTAAAATTATCCTAGTAAGAAAGGAAATACTGTACTTCCATAAATGAAGACAGCAAGGCTCACATAGGTTAAAGTGAAATGATATAGGTGGAATGTGACACAAACATTATGATTTTAAAGCTGTCTTCAAATATTATACTTAGATGCTAATACTCAGTGTTTATTAATATACTCAAATATTAGAGCACTAGTCTTCATATATTATTATTGTCAGACCCAAATATTGTGCTAAAGTACTAATGTTGTGGCTTAAGTCTAGACTGTCCCCCTAACCCTCATGTATTCAGAGGCGGGGATTTTTGGAGGTGATCGGACCCTTTTTGGAGTGTACTATTAGCAGCTAGGCCCTGCTTGGAAGAGGTGTGTTACCGGGATGTGCCTTTTTGGCTCTTCCACTTGTTCTTCGCTTTCTGGCTACCAGGTGTGAACAGCTTTTCTCTGTCAGGCCCTTCCACCATGCTGTCTCTGCTTTGGCACCAGTCAGCCACCGACTGAACTCCACAAAACCATGAGCCAAATGACTCTCTCCTCATTTAAGTTGTGGGTACCAGGTATTTTGTGCCAGCCATAGGAAAGCTGGCTAATGCAACTCAAATATTATAATAATACCATTATACTAATATATCATATTAAAATGTAGATATATTATA